GAATTAAAGGTTGTGATGTATTCGTCTTACTTTGATTAAGGATGTATCCAAAACCCTATTTGTCTGTATACTTCAAAATACATACAAATAAAAGTAGGTTGAGGAAAGTCACTCTGAAGTCACCGCGCGTATTGTCACACTTAGATTATCTACAGTGCCACCTACGTTGTTTATTTCTAGTCTTAGTCGGGGTTTCAACATAACAACAATCGAGTCACTCCATACTAGCTCCGTTCTTGTGCCAGTGAAAATCAGATGAAATGTTCGCCACTGTCTCGCTGGAAGAACTAGTAAACAGTTAGTTCCACCACATTCCAGAAATATATGTACGCTATCAATGCATAAGGCAGTTACCAGAGGCACCAGAGCCAACAGTCGCCACCACAGATGCAATTTGGCGTTGATGGAAGTAGTTGGTCATGATAGGTTGGTATACACACGAAAAATTATTACATAAGGTATGTCGTCAGCCCACACGGCTTATCTCTGTTTATCTCTAATGCCACCTCTTGCATTTTTTACAGTTAAAAGTTTGTTGCATATCCTGTACAGGACGTTGCAGAACCAACCCCAGCAGTTTTAGGCTGTTGTGGTCTTTTTAGGCACATTTTGCGTTCAGTAGTTTTCCATTGCATCCTGAACTGTCAGCTCTCGGTGCCATTGTCGAAACCAACGCAAGAGAAATTGTCCTGCAGCTAGGATCGAACCCAGCGCCCCGTCATTACGAAGCGCCTTCGCAACGCCTAAGCCCGAGACACTGACTTATTTACAGTAACGCCTCTGAAAGACTCCCCCCCCCTCCCCCCCCCCCCCCCCCCCCCCCCCCCCCCCTCCCCCCCCCCCCCCCCCCCACCTCAGATCGCTGATCCAACTCACATTTCACTAATCACTTGTCTGGCTAGGGGAAGCTTAGTAAGAAACGATTTCACTGGACAAAACTGCCTGGACATATTTCTCTGCGAGAGATGAATTCTAAAAGTAGCCGACAGGGGATTAGTTGTAAAGCCCGTGCTGTGTCAGGAGAGAGGATTAACAGAATGCAGCTCATCTTTTCGTATGCACGCCTGGGTCTCCGTCAAAAGGGTGCGCGCCTTCAGTAACATTAGTCAACAACCGAAATGTTTCAGAAAGGAAAACAGCCGATCTTAACGAACCTTGGTGTGCTGAAAACGAAAATGACCTTTAAAAATGTTTGGCTCTGTTTTCAAGCTGTGTGCTCCTAGTTTATTTAATAACGGTCAGTTTGTATATATGACTCTACTGTTGTGGGCGATTGCATTATTTGTTCCAGGGACCAGTAAAAATAAACCTAAAAGTTGATGGTGTAATTCTAATATCATTACATCAGTCACCCTTTTAGCATAAATATCTTATTGATAATAATTTATCATTTGTTAGTGCGTTTGTCCTTATCAAAAGTATCATAGAAATGCTTATGGCCTGTCGAACGGTGCTAATAATTTCTATTATATATGTGGTTAGATGACATTTCTGAAGAAGAAACAAATTGAATTATAAATCAATAAGAAGGTATATAGTTTGTATTTTGGCTGCAGAATAAGAGCTAGGCACGTGTCGAATAAATGTGCAGCACATCATAGTATAAACCAGGCAAATAGTAATGTGGTTTCCCTCAATGGCACCCCACTCCAAGTCGTGGAGTCGTACACCTATTTAGGCAGTAATGTAGATAAAGATGGAGGAACTGATAGAGATATTAAAATAAGAATACAAAAGGCAAGAGGGGCTTTCATAGCACTAGGGCATTTGTGGAGGTCAAAAAAAAATTAAAAGAAATACTAAACTAAAAATTATTAATTCTAATGTCAAATCAGTACTATTGTATGGAGCCGAAACATGGAGAACAACCAAGGCAATTACTAATAAATTACAGACATTCATTGACTGGTGCCTGCGCAAAATAGAGGGAATGTTTGTTTGTTTGTTTTAGTATCCAGAAGCCATGAGTTGTTAACCCTTAGGCTCGGTATTATGGATATCGCAACCTTTCGGCCTTGATTCCATTGTAAATACCGTAAATCTGGGAGAAAATGTGGCTTTCCTGCCTACCCCCGGGATTGAACCCGGACCACAAGGAGTACGTCACCCGGTCTCCGCGAAATCCGGTTTAGCCAATTCCGCTAGAGAGCCGGGCAGAATAGAGGGAATAAAATGGTATGATAGAATAACTAATGTAGAACTTTGGGAGAGAACTAAACAGGCTCCAGTGGATCAGGAGGTGAGGAAAAGACGCTGGCGTTGGATAGGGCACACACTGAGAAAGCAGGAGAACAGCATAACTAGAATGTCTTTGCATTGGAACCCACAGGAGCATTGGAATAAAGGAAGGCCAAAAAAACACATGGAGAAGAGAGCTGGAGAATGAGGTTAGAAAGATTGGGAGAACATGGGGAGAGCTCCATGCAATGGCGAAGGATAGAACGACTTGGCGTGAGTTGGTTGAGGGCCTATGCTCCATTGGGGGATAGAAAGGCAGAAGAAGAAGAGACACCATAGACTGGTTGCGTGACGAAAGGCAAGCTAGGTCTTTTTCAGTCCCAGTGAGAGAGCCTGTTACTTTTGCATGGTCCCTCCAATGGGGACAAGCATACTGAAGAAGGAAAAATGGACCATGGAATATTCCACCATCCCCTCTCCAATGCTTCCGGTACCACATGTTGATGACCTACCAGTTCCCAAAGTGTCAGAATCGTTTTCTGCTGCTTCTACTGGTGGGGGAAAAAGAGTTTATTAGTGGTCATCAACCTCAAGTGACCATGATTTTGAGCAGACTACACCCACTAAACCACACCTAATAACCCAAAGTGACCTGAATGATCTCGTAAAAGATTTGAATTTATCGAAAGAAGGAGGAGCTTTTTGGGTTCCATATTTCAACAATGGAATCTCCTAGCAGAAGATGACAGCATTTGTATGTATAGGAACCACAAAGCAAGGGACAAATAGACGAGGTTTTCAAATATTTTAGCACTCTGCATGTCTGGATGTTCCTTCTTCCCCCCCACCCTCGCTTGTATAATGCGATTCTTGCTATCTCCCTCTCCTCCCCTCTCCGTTGTATGTGGCAATCTCACCCCCCTCTGTCTCTTTGCACATATCACTCTCTGTGTATCTCGGTCAACCTTCCTGTCTGTATGTATGTTTTTCTGCCCCTCCCCTCTCTCTCCGTCCTCTCTTAGATACTCCGATTTCTAACATAGAATAAGTCAACATCTTCTACACAAACTGTCCATTAATAATGTCTACCTTCCATCTTGATCCCCACAGGGCAGTTGAGACAATCCGAGACGTGATAGAGACTCACAAACAGTACTGGACCAGTCTGCGAGGCTATTGTAAGTATTGACCCGTGTTTTAACGCCTGTCCACGATTTTGTTACCTCTTCTATTTACCACTCTTTAGATCGGCTTGGGGCATCAGGGTCTTGAGCCTGAGGATTTAGGGCCGCATGGTTAGCGCAGACAATGGTGATTACATAACCCCCCCCCCCCCACCCCCACCCCCACACACACACACCGAAAAAAAAGAGTATGTCACCTTGTCGAATTTTCGAATTCGGCTCTCCCTGGGTTCTGCCATACCATTTTTATCTACTTGATTCCGACTGACTGACTTGTTACCCCACCAGGATGTGACACTGAGCGACAAACACCTGGTGACACAAAGTGCCAACATTCGGATGAGGATAACCGTGAAGAGGTCCTGGAAACCCCGTTCAATCGTTAGGTTGCATGTTCTCACAATTTCCCTGGGTTTGTTGAAAGCTCATACGGAATGATCATCGGAATGATCCCTCTTTCACAGATGATTGGGCTTCTTCACCTTCTTGTATTTAACACTGTCGGTGTCATTGCTTTTGCTAGCGTTTACCACACACAGCTGTTTGGTGGTTTTACACTTTACCGTGCATCCACATGGAGACAAGCGGTGAGCTACTTTACATGCGTAGAAGGCTGTCTGTAATCACATGGACAGTGCAAAAGAGCAGGCAGAGAATCCAGGCAGTGGAATACTAATATGGTCAGTTAAATGATAATCTCCCCAAACAAAATAGATCACGTTCCATTCATAATTATTTTAAGACTGGTCTGCTGTCCGTGGTTGGGGGGGGGGGGGGGGGGGGGGGGGGAGGGTGGAGGTTACAGGCTGCCACTATGTTGTTTCTTTCTGGCTTATCTTGCATTTACATTTTTCTTCAGAGAAAGAAAATGCCTGTTACATAGGTTGCAACACTCTCTAGGGGCAGTTGTGTGTTAGACCCAGTTTCTAAATGTTTTTGTAGTTTTAAAAGCTCTGGCGTGCTTAAATATACAACACGCGATATCAACAGCAGTGTGAGAAGGTCGGGTGACTGAAGATCCATCAATCAGAAGTGAGATAGTGTGTATTTGAGCGGTCCGTGGAGAGACTTTCGTGGAACTAACATACTAATTTTACTAAATTGGGGGGGGGGGGGGGTAAGCAGAGGGAAAATGGGGGGGGGAGGGGGGTTGAGTGGAGGAAGAGGACAAAGCACGTGTGGGTATATTAGTTGTTTAGTTTTTCATTCCTTTGTTGATTTATCACATATAGAGAATTCTGCACTCCCGCGCGCGCACACGCGCACGCGCGCGCACACACACAAACAATTTTAACTTGTAAACGACATTTTTCAAACCATCTAGGATATTTTTTTATACAAACTGGACGATTTTAAAACCACCTAGGACGTTTTTCAAATCAAACCGGACATTTTTCAAACCAAACTGGACAAAATTAAAGAACAGTTTTTAATGCCTAAATTCGAGGAAATGCTGGAACTTTCGAGATATTGTGGAACACACATTACGTCATTCTTTCTGTAATGTTTTAATTTTGTGATATCTGTAGAGGAAAACGCTTTTATCCGTTTATTGTACAGTCCTGTAAACTTAGCAAAGCAACCATAAAATGAGCAACCAACCGCACAACGACTTGTATCTGAGGCAACGACGGTGTAAGCCTTAGCGCAGAAAAAGGTAAAGCTTGTGTTGGTCAATGAAAAAACAACCCACTAGGCAGCTCAAGTCGCTGGTATCAGCGAGAGCACAGCAAGAAACATCATTAGTGCCTACAAACGAGAAGGTGCCATTTCCCAGCGAAACTGCGGTGGAAACAACATAGAGAAGCTGACACCCAGTGTCTTGCTGCGCATTCAGAACGTTGAACGACATCCAGGTGTCATTTGGTGCAGATACAGCAGCGTATGAAGGAGGACGGCACTGAATTGGCCGTATCTTCAAATTTCAGTGGCCTCAAAAAGCTTAAGATCACCCTAAGGAATTACCATTACGAACAACAGCATCACGGCCGGAAAAACCACCTAGCCGGAAAACTTATGCTTGCGACTTCTCTGCACATGTTCCGCAAGACAAGGAGAAGTTCATCTTCATTTATGAGTGTGGGTATAGTCTTCATTGACGACGGACACAGGAGAGGGACATGTTCAAACATTATCCTGCCCACAGTAAGAGGCCGCATGGTGACACAAATTATGGCGATGAACAGCCAAGGAATAGTTCACTCAAAGATCATCGATGATGGGCACCTGCAATGCGAAAGTTCTGCACATTTGTTGAAAAGCTTGTGACGCGTATAGGTTGCTGGGAGAAGCTGAACCACGCATGAATGATAACGGACAATGCCAGAATCCACAAATCAAATGACTACGGAGAATCCCGGGCTCATCCTATCATCTAAAGTTCCTGTCACATTACTCCTACATGTCGAACCCGACAGAAAACCGGCTATCCAAGGTAAAGGCATGAGCCAGGCGCCTCTTGTGCAATCCAACGCCCAACCAGACACAATACAAGCTCATTGAAGAAAGCTTTGGACCAGTGTCACAGCAAGAGGGCACAAGTTATGTCCTCTATATGATGATGAACTTTTCGACAGCAGCAGAAGGAAAACCTTTCATCTCGTTAAATGTGATTTTCTGTGTCATTACTTTCTTCGTTAAGAAGTATCAGTTGTTGAAAACACACGGTGTCCAGTTTGCTTTGAAAAGTGTCCTATGTGATTTGAACAATGTCCAGTTTGATTAAAAAAAAAACGTCCTAGGTGGTTTGAAAATCTCCCAGTTTGATTTAAAAATACGTCCTAGGTGGTATGAAAATCATCCAGTTTGATGTGAAAAGTGTCCAGTTTAACGCAAAAATGTTGTGTTTGTGTGTGCGCGCTTGCCTGTGTGTGTGTCTCTCTCCCCCCCCCCCCTTTTCCTCTTCTCTCTCACTGTCTCAATTGATCACATCAAGAGTACACAATGTTTGTATGACGCTGAGCAACATCTATATCGAAAAAGATTTACAGTACCCGAGGCAAAAGACTGTACAGACTTATCTACCATCACCACAGGGCTTCAGGCATAAGAAGAAGAAGAAGAGGAGGAAGGAGAATTATCTCCTACTGTTAGTTTTATTGCTTGTAATCTGTTTTTTTTTTTTTTTTAAAATCCTTACACATAACGTATTTTACCTCAGGACCCAGTTTATAACCATTAACATGTGACCAGGTAACATCTGAATGAGAGATTTTTTTTGTTTTGTAATGCAGTATTTCTGCCTGTTTCTCTTTTTGACTTATCCATGGTTGGTTGGTTTTTGTGGCTATGGTTTTTACAGAATGAGGTAGCCAACCTCAAGCCCAACCCTACCCTTAGTCGCCTCTTACGACATGCCTGGTAGGGTGCAGTGTCACTATTCTATGCTTCCCGTGAGGGCCATGTAACACACGGGCTTGGTCTGAAAACCCATAAAGGAAAGACAAAGATAATGAGAATAAATCAGGCAAATAGTAATGTGGTTTCTCTTAATGGCACCCCACTCCAAGACGTGGAGTCGTACACCTATTTAGGCAGTAATGTAGATAAAGATGGAGGAACTGATAGAGATATTAAAATAAGAATACAAAAGGCAAGAGGGGCTTTCATAGCACTAGGGAATTTGTGGAGTTCAAAAGAAATACTAAACTAAAATTTTTTAATTCTAATGTCAAATCAGTACTATTGTATGGGGCGGAAACATGGAGAACAACCAAGGCAGTTACTAATAAATTACAGACATTCATTAACTGGTGCCTGCGCAGAATAGAGGGAATAAAATGGTATGATAGAATAACTAATGTAGAACTTTGGGAGAGAACTAAACAGGCTCCAGTGGATCAGGAGGTGGGAAAAAGACGCTGGCGTTGGATAGGGCACACACTGAGAAAACAGGAGAACAGCATAACTAGAATGTCTTTGCATTGGAACCCACAGGGGCATAGGAATAAAGGAAAGCCAAAAAACACATGGAGAAGAGAGCTGGAGAACGAGGTTAGAAAGATTGGGAGGACATGGGGAGAGCTCCATGCAATGGCGAAGGATAGAACGACTTGGTGTGAGTTGGTTGAGGGCCTATGCTCCATTGGGGGATAGAAAGGCAGAAGAAGAAGAATTTCTGCCTGTAACCGTAATTCTGCTAGATGCATTTTAGAAGGGAAAGACAAATAATTTAACTGTCACACAGGGGCGCCGAAGCGAAGAGAGCATGAGGGTGGGGGTGTTTAAGCTCTTTTACAACTTTTCTTCTTGTTCTTCTTGTTCTTCTTGTTCTTGTTCTTCTTGTTCTTCTTCTTCTTCTTCTTCTTCTTCTTCTTCTTCTTCTTCTTCTTCTTCTTCTTCTTCTTCTTCTTCTTCTTCTTCTTCTTCTTCTTCTTCTTCTTCTTCTTCTTCTTCTTCTTCTTCTTCTTCTTCTTCTTCTGATTATTAATAATATTATATTCCTACCTCCCTCCTCCTGCTCCTCCCCTAGTCAAGTTCTGCTTGTCACCGTCAGTACTGGCGCTAGAACATCTGGTCGTAGGCAAACTGAACCCCGCCCAACCATGTACAGAAGTTCTCTGTTGAGTTTTTTTTATAAATACTATTTGAACCATGAAGACACCAACAATAGACTGCACAATTTATTGCCTGTCATATTTCGCTGTATCTCGTCAGGTGCACACTATAGTAACAATTACATAAATGAAGCCCCAAAAAAAGTTAATCCTTTATAACTGAAGTACAATTTCAACAGCGATCAAACATCACTGCCTGATTTTTTTTTTTTTAAACCAGGGCTAACTTCACTTATTTGCTTTATTTATGTAACTATAGTATTTATAAACAAAACTCAACAGATAACTTCAGTACATGGTTGGGTGGGGTTCAGTTTGCCATTAATTTCTGTCAACGTTCAGTGTGTATCAGCAAGACACGTTTTAGGTTTTCCCTAAATACATTGTGGTAAACCTGCAGTCTCTTCCTTTTATTTACAATGCGTGATCAGATGAAAT